CAATTCCCACACTGTGCCTCTGTTGTTGTCCCCCGCAGGGCCATGGGTCAGTGAGGGGCCTACAGCTCTTATAACAATCCAGATATCAATTGTATCAAGCATATTTGTATATATGTTGCCATCATTATTTTCTAGGTGTTTACTTTCCATTAAGCGCTTCGTATCAGCTCCTCTTTTTTCCCTTCTCCCCCATCCTCGTGACCCCTTGATAAATTATAAATTATTATTTTTCATATCTTACACTGACTGCTGTCTCCCTTCCCCCATGGTTTCTGTTGCTCATCCCCCTGGGGGCAGGGTGGGACACACAATACAATTTTATATACATATTTTCTATTTTTCTAATTGGAGGCACTTAAAAATCATTAAAGTACAGTTGAGAAATTAAATCTATCCAAGAAGTCCTCATTAATCTTTTGTCAACTTCTTTTCTTCTATTTATTTTTTCTAACATTGAGGTCATCCAGAATTACAGTTTTGAATATTGATTGTTTCTTTTTGAAACAGTTTATCATAATTATCTTTATAAGACAATAAAAATTCATTGTGAACAAAATATATAGTAGCGGTCTAATTTTTCATTATAAGTTTCAAATGGTTCATAAAGTTTATTGTTAAAATATTTAAAGCATAGTTTCCCAGTTTATTTAGCCTATCACTCCCTTCAAGGAAAAAAACCCAACAAACAGCCCTGTGCCCCGGGCAGTGAAACACGTGGGTGCTATAGTCTATAACCCAGGATAAAGTGTAGGTATAGCTTTTGTAGATCCCTGGATCATTCCAGGACCCCTGGGGTGGGGTATATGTACTTTGGAAACACTGATTTAAAGTTGTTGAGAAAATGATAACAACTTACATTATTTTTTCTGTCACATTCATGTTGTCTGGGAAAAAGTATGCTGCATAGCCCCACAGGTATCTGATGGGATTATTTTTAATTAGTTATGTAAGAAAACAAAACAAAATGCATCTTCTCACTCTTGAGTTAATTTCATCTCATGGTGACCCCTTGTGTTACCGAGAACTGCTTCATAGAGTTGTCTTGGCTATAATAACTACAGAAACATAAAGTCAGGTCTTTCTTCTGCAGTCCCTGGGGCTGGGTTTGAACCACCAGCCTGTAAGTTAGTAGTTAAGTACTAACCACTTGTGCCACTCACAGGCCTCTTAGTTCCATAAGCTTTATCTATTTATTATCTGCAAATGCTTTCTTTGCTAATACACAGCTCTAGTTGCTTTCTTGATAATAGAAATGAAAGTAAAGATTATTTCTTCTTTCTCTTGCTGAAGGTGGTTGGAGGCAAAGTAAAGAAGCCAGGTAAACGTGGTCGGAAGCCAGCCAAAATCGATCTGAAAGCAAAACTTGAGAGGAGCCGGCAGAGTGCAAGAGAATGCCGGGCCAGAAAAAAACTGAGGTATCAGTATTTGGAAGAATTGGTATCCAGTCGAGAAAGAGCTATCTGTGCTCTCAGAGAGGAACTGGAAATGGTAAGGAAGTCTGTCAGTAAAGGATAAAATAATCCCGATTTAACAGTCAATAAAGTAGATTTTAAAACAGATAATGCTATTTTCACCTGTTCAGGTGGCCAACTTTGGAAAGGCTAATAATAAGGTTATGTAGACAAGGAATCTTTTCATACACTGATTGTGGGGACTAAAGGTGTGTGACATTGAGGACGTGTATAGTAGAAAACAACCCACTGCATCGATATCTGTCAAATGGATTGTACTCATCCATATATTGGACTTCTTGGCAGCCAATAATCACAATGTATAGATTTTTCTTACTGATGTAGAAGGTTCAAATATTATCGCTACTTTGAAAAAACAATATAGCAATATGTAAAATATATATAGTATGGTACCATCTATGTTAAACATGCTAGAGAGCTTTTAAAACGTTCATGGAAAAAAATCCATGATCTTTTAATTCTGTTTTCAACCAACTTTTTGAAGCCCCCTCCTATTTATTGAATGTGCTTTATTCATTCACATTTTTTGTGTTGTCTGCGGAAATGTAAAAGAAAGTAGGTACGCGAGAATTTAGAGAGGTGACAGGTAGAAGAGAGAGACAGTAATAGCATGATGCTTGCAAAACTGGGACAGGCGACCTAGGTTTTTAGAAAGTTGGGGCATGAGAATCCAAGTAGATATTATTCGTAAATAGTTTTCTTAAAACATTCCATGTGACTTGTGCTATAAATTATTTCTTGCCTTCTGTGAGGTCACAAACCACCTTCTGTTGCCATCGAGTTGATTCTGGCTCACAGTCCTCCCTCAGGGCACAGTAGAGCTGCCCCATAGGGCTTCCAAGTGGGTATCTTTAGGGACGCAGCTCTGGTGGTACAGTGCGCAAGTGCCTAGCTGCATACTGAAAGGTCAGTGACTGAACCCACCAGTTGCTCCATGGGAGGGAGATCTGGGAATCTGCTTCCTTAAGGATTTACAACCTTGGAAACTCAATGGGGCGTCTCCGGTCTGTCCTACAGGGAGCTGCGAGTCGGAATAGGCTCCAAGGCACCAGGGTTTGGTTGGGTTCTTGGTTTACTCTTTACAGAAGCAGAATACCACATCTTTCTACCACAATGAGTCACCTAAGGAGATCACTTTGGCCTCTATCCTTGGTTCCTGAGAGACAATCTTTGGGATTTCCTGAGTAATAGAGGTACTTTTTGCTATTTAGGCCTACAGACAATTCCTGAAGATTTGTGTTAATGGGGGTGGGGGCCGGTAGTTTGACCAACTTAGAAGGACCACTTTGTGGTCAGATATCAGCTGACTTGAGAGGAAGAGAGCAAGAGAGTGGTTCTATCATGCATCTACAGTAAGGCCCGGAGGTGAGATGCTATGGAAAATTCTGGGGACTGCAATTGCATCTTAAAGTGAAATGCTGTTTGTGATAGATTTGATAAGGGTTGGTTAGGCATAGACAGACCTTCCGAGCAAAAGGAGGAATAAGAACTTCATGTTAAGAGCATCCAGAAGGCTTTTAAACTGGACCATAATATGTTTATATGAGGAAGCTTCAAGAATTTCATGGAAAAATTCCCTTACCTTTTCATTCCATTTTTCCATGAACTTTTTGAACCCTTCTCATATCCTTCGAAGAATAATCCCCGAGATTGCAGTGTGGGGAGTGGATAAGGTGAGCAGATGAGACTACTTAGAGATAGCGAGAACCTTTAGGAGGCTGTGATAGTTGGCCTGAACCAAGGTGATGGCATTGCAGCTGCAGCAAAGCAGACAATGAGACTTCTTAGAAGGGTAGAAGCCACAGAAGTTAGGAATAAGGTAGTTGTAACTTAGTGTGATAACTAAATGTCTCAATTGATGAAGGATGGTTCTAGATATTGAAGATAGGGAATGTCAATGCAGAGTGGGTTTAGTGGGGGTTTTGAAAGTTCAGATTTTTTTTTCAGATTTTAGTCATATTTAATTTTATATGTCTGTGGAAACTCCTAGAGGAAAGATGACGTGGCAACTAGAAAAATGGGTCCCAAGCAGGAGTCTGCAAACATTGCCTGTAAAAGGACAGCTGTGTGATGACACCTCATCAGTTCCAACCCTTAAATGCAGCAGAATGAAGCGCTGCTGGTCCTGTGCCATCCTTGAACTCACGGTGGCAGTACTATGCCATTTCAGGTCATTGAGGGCCTTTCTCTTGTTCACTGACCCTCCACGTACCAGGCATGATATCCTTCTGCAGGGACTGACTTCTCCTGATCATATGTCCAAAGTGCTTAAGGCACTTTCCAGCTTCACATCTAAGGAACATTCCCGCTATACAGTTTCCAATTGTTCGTTCTTCTGGCAGTTCGGGGCATATTCAGTATTCTTCGCCAACACCTTAATTCTAAGATGAGGCTGCCTGCCTCCGTAAGGATTTACAGCCTCAGAAACCCTATATAGCAGAGGTAACCCAACTTACTTAGCCTTCCTCCCCCTTTTCAGAAAAAAGTTACTCGGTGCCCCTTGGCAATTAAAACCTTTTGTACTCTAGCACATAACCCAGGATCAAGTGGCGGTATCTGCTGTTACAGTCTTTTCAAGGGGATAATGCCCACGTTAGGAGTCATAGGGTCACTATGACTATGGCACCTTCATGTACATGTGAATGACAGAAAATACCATGGCTTTGGGCAGGTACACCTGATCCTCAAAGCAACGTTGTTGCTCTTTAACACTTTAAAGAGTCTTGTGGTTTTATGCAGCAGATTTGCCCAGTGCAAGATGTCATTTGGTTTCCTGACTGGTGTTTCTATGGATGTTGTGTATCAATAAAATGAAATCCTTGACAGCATTATCTTTTTTCCGTTTGTCATGATGTTTTTTCTTGGTGCAGTGGGAGAATTTTTGTTGGCTTTATACTGAGTGTAACTCATGCTGAAAACAGTAGTCTGTGATCTTCATAAGTAAGTTTTTCAAGGCCTTTCCATGTGCAGCCAGCACGGCTGAGATTCCTGCAGATCACAGGCTGTTAGGAGCTTTCCTCCAGCCCCGAGGCCGAGTTCTTCATACGTCCAGTTTCTTGGATTACTTGCTTAGCATTCAAACCAAGTACTATGGTGAAAGGACAGAACCCGCCACTGTCCTCTGTGGGTGTTAGACTGCAAAGTGTATCCCCTTGTTCTGTCCAAACCACTGCGGTTCAGCACAGTTAAGTGTTACGGAATTCCAGGTCTTGCAATGTTGTTCAGTTTGTTATCATCCACACACAACAGATTGCTTTTACATACTCAGTAAAACACAGGTTAACACCTCTCTGGTAGTCTTGGCTTTCAGCTAAGAGTCAAGTGATATCAGCCATGATCTCTCTCCTCGCCTGTTGCTTGAATTTCTGACAGTTCCCTTTCAAATTCTTTTTTTTTAAATTATCTTCATTCTCTGAGGTTCCCCTAGATTTTAGTCTTTTGAAATCCATACTCACTGGCATCCAGTCAATTGTGACTCATAGTGAGCTTGTAGGGCAGGGTAGTACTGCCCCTGTGGGCTTCTGAGGCTGTGAATCTCTATATCCTGTCTCCTATGAAGAGGCTGGTTGGTGAGTGTGATAGAAGCCCAACAAGGAAACCACAATGTTGCCCAGGCTCCTTTACTTCACCCTCTCATCTTTCTCTCTGAACTCTGTATTGTCTTCGGGCTTCACAAATTGACCCTCTAGGATTGCGATAGCTTTTAATTGTATTCCTAGCTAAGAGTTGGATAAAGTGATTGTTAATTAGGTGTGACTAACTGATATGGTGAGCCAATTGTGAGCATTTCATTTAAAAATGATGTATTAATCATACTAAATCTCTTATCTAATGGTGTACTATAAGGAGATATTCTTTTAGCCATAATGGGTTTCTTAATCTTTGCAAAAAGGAAATGTCAATATTAGTTGCGTACCCTCTTCTGAAGAGGGTCCTGTAGAAATAAGCCAGCCAACCCACTGCCTTGAAGCCCATTCCATCTCCTAGTGGCCCTGTGGGACAGAGTAGAACCGTTCCTTGGGGTTTCTGAGACCTTAACTCTTTATGGAAGCAGACAGCCTCATTCATCCAAATGTAGATTGACTGGTTGGTTTGATGGCCAACCTTAACAATAGCATTCCTAACACTTAACCCATTGAACCACCAAAGATCCTAAGTAAGAAATAAAGCAGAAGGTAATTCCTGGCGCCAATGTGATTTCTAGATAAGGAGTGCCTTATGCAGTGTTTCAACCAGTGGTTTTTGAATTCTGATTGTTAAGATTTTACTTAAATGTATTTTACATCTTTCAGTACAAGCAGTGGTGTATGGCAATGGACCAAGGAAAAATCCCTTCTGAAATAAAAGCCCTCCTCACTGGAGAAGAGCAGAGCAAATCTCAGCAGAACTCCAGCAGGCACACCAAGGCTGGGAAGACGGAAGCCAGTAACAATGCCTGTGAGTACAGTGCCTGGGAGAGCTGATACTTAGGGGAGAGGCTCAGGTAGGGTTTCTATCGACTGCTTTCCTTAACATGTTTTTAAATCATGCATCGGTGTCCTTTGTAATCACAAAACAACAAAAAAGCTCATTGCCATCGAGTCAGTGCTGACTCATAGTGACACTACAGGACAGGATAGAACTGCCCCTGCGGGCTTCTAAGAGGAAACTCTGGGCGCAGAACGCCTCATCTGTAACGGAACCAGAGGTTTCAAACTGCTGACCTTTCTCGTAGCAGCAGAACACATAACGACAGTACCACTAAGTAAGTAAACAAATGTGAATGCATCATTACACTTGTTAATAAGAATACATTGATAGTTTACAAAGAACTTTCACTTAAGCTACTTTAATTATTTCCTTCAACAAATGTGTTGAGTTCTGCCTCTTTATTTTATAGATAAAAAAATAGAGGAGGGCCGGAGGTACACAACTGTCATTACAAACCTGCCCTTACCAGTTCCGGCTCTCTCTCCAGGCTGATAGTCCATCGCTGCAAGGGATTTAAATGGAAGTGAACTTGACAGAAAATAAAATAACCATTTCAAGGCGAACAACTCAGTGGTAATTAGTACCTTTACAGTGGTGTTCTACACCATTGTTAACAACCACCTCCATCTTAATTCCAAATAATTTTCGTCATCTCAAAGGGATACTCTGCACCATTTTCCCCTTCTCAGCCCCTGGTGACCACCGACAGTTTCTGCTTATGAATTGACCTCTTCTGGCTCTCTCATATCACTGGCGTTTTTGTGTATGTCTGCTTTCTTTCTCTCAGCATAATGTTTTCAGGCTTCATCCATGTTACAGCATGTATTAGAACTTCATCTTTTTGGTTGTTTAATGTTCCGTTGTGTGTGTGCATGACAACTTGTGCATCTATTCCTCCATTGGTAGACATTTGGGTTGTTTTCTATCATTTGGCTATTGTGAACTTGTTTTCAGTTCTTTTGGGTATATGTGTAGGAGTAGAATTGCTGGTTTGTATAGTAATTCCATGTTTAATATTTTTGAAGACTCTCAATTGCTTTCCACAGTGGCTGATCCAGTAACATACGAAGGTTTCAGTTTCTACACATTCATTAAAGTACCTTTTTTCCCGTTTTTAAATTTTTATTTCTCTGATGACATTAAGCATCTTTTAATGTGCTTTTTTGGCCATCAATCTACCTTTTTGGGGGGACTGTCTATTCAAGTCCTTTGTCCACTTTTTGTTTATTTTTATTAATTGGGATTAATACATATATCAAATCATTCCATAGTTCAGTCATGTGCAGCAGCATTGTACATTTGCTACCACAGTCAGTTTCCAAATGTCATCACCTGGTCACCATCGGATTATTTAGCTTCCTTTTTTTTTTAAGGTCTTTTTCTTAAAAAATAATTTTATTGGGGGCTCATACAGCTCTTATCGCAATCCATACATATAATCATTGTGTCAAGCACATTTGTACATTTTGTTGCTATCATCATTTTCAAAATATTTTCTTTCTACTTGAGCCCTTGGTATCAGCTCCTCATTTTTCCCCATCCCTCCCCCACCCTCCCTCTCTCACGAACCCTTGATAATTTATAAATTATCATTATTTTTTCATGTCTTGCACTGACCAATGTCTCCTTTCACCCACTTTTCTGTTGTCCATGCCCCTAGGAAGGGGTGACATGTAGACCATTGTGATCGGCTACCCCTTTCTCCCCCCACTTTTCCCTTACCCTCCTGGTACTTAACTCCTTTTGTTGAATTATAGAATTCTTTATATGCATTCTGGATATTAGATTAAGGTGACCAGATTTTAACATTGATAAAGTGGGACACCATTGATAAAACTCATATCCTACGAAATAGCCACATGGCAGCCAAAAACTAGCTTGTCATGCATTCTTTCCAAAAATCGGGACTTTTTAAAAACGCCACGAGACACAGGAAAAATTGTTAAAAATCGGGACTGTCCCACCAAAAGCGGGACGTCTGGTCACCTTATATTAGATCCTTATCAGATAATAGAACTTGCAAATAATTTCTCCTAATCTGTAGTCTTTACTTTATTGATTGTATCCTTTGATGCACAAAAGCTTTAATTGTTATGAAATCCAGTTTATCTACTACTTTCTCTTGTTGCGTGTGCTTTTGGTGTCATATCCAAGAATCCATTGCCAAATCCAAAGTCATAAAGAATTATCCCTGTTTTCTTCTAAGAGTCTTAACGATTTTAGCTCTTTTATTTAGGTTGTTGATCCACTTTGAGTTAAGTTTGCATACAAATTGCCCTCAAAAAGTTCATGAAAAGTGTGTACTATAAAAAACTATGCAGGGGGAGAGTGGGTAGGAAAGAGGGAACCGATTACAAGGAACTCTATGTGACCTCCTCCCTGGGGGACAGACAACAGAAAAGTGGGTAAGAGACGTCGGACAGGGCAAGATATGACAAAATAACAATTTATGAATTATCAAGGGCTCATGAGGGAGGGGGCAGCGGGGAGGGAGAGGAAAAATTAGGACCTAATGCTGGGGGTTTAAGTGGAGAGGAAATGTTTTGAGAATGATGAGGGCAATGAATGTACAAATGCGCTTTACACAATTGATGTGTGTATGGATTGTGATAAGAGTTGTATGAGCCCCTAATAAAATGATTTAAAAAAACTATGCATGGATTTGGATTTTTGCATTCATACTAACTTGTTAGAGCATGTCTGAACACAATCTAGCTGGAGGTACTGAAAAGGATAAGACGATTTGAAAAGAGCCCCTATAAAAGCAACCTAAGTGCTGCCGAGATTGAAGCCAAACAAATGTGCAATTTGTGGTGAAGCTTGGGTGGAAGAATGGTGAAATCATTGATGATTTAAAAAAGACTGGAAAGAAATCATGTTTACAAATAGATTCCTGATACAAGAGGAGACAAGGCAATGTTGGAATTAAAATCTGAGCAGCAGACCGTCTGCGCCTCACGTTGTGAGGAAAACCTCACCTCGTCCGGGCCCTGATTGAAGAAGACCGACAACTGCCACAGAAACATAGACATCTCATTTGGTTCAGCATACCAATTTGGAATGAAAGATGAAAGTTGAACAGATTCTCTGTTCAGTGGTTACCCAAACTACTGCACTCAGATAAAGTACAGGCAAGAACTTTCCGTAGAAATTTTAAGCAAGTGAGATATCAAGATGCTGAAGCATTTCTTCAAAGAATTTTACAGGAGCTGAAACATCGCTTTAATAGTATGACCTCGAGGACAAAAGACAGGCAAAGCAATCGCTGCATGGAGTTCCAAGTGGTTCGGTCAAAGCAAAATTGGACTAAAACAATTCAAACTCACTACTCTTAGGACTGATGGCAACCCTATAGGGCAAAGCAGAACTGCCCCTTTGGGTGTCCTTTGGAAGTAGACCTCTTTCTCCTGAGGTGGGTTTGAGCCACTGACCTTGCAGTTCGCAGTTCAATGCGTAGCCCACTTCAAAACTGGACTGGTCAAAAGCAAAGGTCATGACAACAATTTGTTATCAGGCAAAACGTTTTGCTTGTTGACTTTCTGAAGAGAGAGAAGTATAATATCTGCTTATGATGAGAGTGTTTTAAGAAAGTTAGTTTGTGCTTTAGTCACCAGGAAAACTTCACCAAAGAGTCCTTCTCCACCATGACAATGTGCCTGCTCCCTCTGTCATCCAACAGGACAATTGGGTGAGCATTTTGATGGGACATCATTAGGCATCCACTTTACCATCCTATTTGACTTCTTTTTGTTTTCCGATCTTGAAAAATCTCTAAAAGACACCCGATTTTCATCAGTTAACAGCGCAAAAAAGACTGCACTAGCATGAGTCATTTCTCAGGACCCGCAGTTCTGTAGGGATGGTGGTATCATTGCTTATATAAGTGTCTTGGCCTTGATGGAGTTTATCTTGAGAAGTAGAGTTAGTTTTTGTTTTACATTTTAAAATTCCATTTTCCATGACTTTTGAAGTCTCCTCGTTTGATGTGGGGTTGGAGCCCACCTCATTCTTTTGCCGGTAGCCACCGAGCTCTCCAGTCCATTCCAGAAACTGGAATGGCGATGTCTTGTGCCTAGTTCTTCACTGTGTGACTGCACTTGAAATAGTTAGAAAATGTTATAAACTGCAGCATCTTTAGAAAAAAATTGATGACTTTTGTTAAGCTAGGTAACATTTGCTTTAATATCAAGTGAATTAAAGAAAAAAGCTAATAAACTATACTGAAAATTCATGCATTTTAAAACAGCTTAATAACTTCACTGACATAAAAAAATTCTTACATAAGTAACTTTGATTTCTTTTTCAGGGTGAAGATCATATAAAACAATGAATCAGTGATTGAAGCCAATATTCTGATTCCCATGGAAGATGAACGGGCAGGATTGTTCTTTGTGGCTCTGTTTACTACCTACTGCTCAGTAGTCATCTCTGTAAATCTGCAAAATGTGTGATCACAGATATCAAAGGGCCTTGCTTTAACCTTCCACCCTCAGAAAATATACCTTAAGGCCTGTTTGTCTAACGTTGGCACCATGGCATGCAACATGTTGTGATGCTTGAAAACACAGGAGTAGAGAAAAAACTGGGTTGAAGATTGTATTTTTGCA